AAAACTGGTTTGAATCTGACAAATTTGAGTCTGGGATTCAAAGTAATAATTGCAACTTAAATTGGGCATTGTCATTTTTCAGTAGAAAAAAATAAAACATTGGCAAAACTCTAAGAGAAGCATTGTGAATGAAAAATCTTTTATCAAATAAAACCAAAACACAAGACCTAAATGTTCAAGCAGAAACATTAAGTTTCTCATGAAAAACTCCTTAAAATTTGAACCAAGAGAAAACCGGTGATGTGAACAGTGAATGATAAAGTAATTATCAAAAGAGAAATCAAATATGGTGGAAAATTAAACAAAATTGACATAAAACAAATTAATTTACATTATCTTTTAAGAAGCTGTTTATAAAAGACATGATATAGGGTGGTATAAAATTATCAGTAAGGTCTAATCTATTTGGAGTACACATTCATTAAAATTTCACTCCAGTGGCAGCATACACAGTGGATTAAAGAAAAAATATTGTTCTCCATGACAATGCCAGGATGCACATAGCAAGGATAACACAGGAAAAAAATTTTGAACTTGCTTGATCTGTTCAGCCCCCACTAGCCATATTCACTAGATTTTGTATCAACCGATTATTATTACCTTTTACAATCACTACAAAAGACTTTCTCTAATAAAAAATGGATTGAGAGGTCCATCAAAAAAAACTTTCACATCAAAATCTGCAAACTTTTACTCAAAAGTTACTTAACTGATAAATGGTGAATAAAATTTAACTGAACTTTATTTTTTAAAGAATAGAATTGATAAAAAAAATGGAAATTATTTATGATTCAACCTAGTATATACAATAAGGGGCAAAATCATTCATACAGTACAATCAATTTTATTTCAAATAATTAATATTTCAAATATTGAGACATATAATTTTTAGAAACAAAGAAAAGACTACTGAACAGTTATGTAATATAAGTCTTTCTATATAGCAGTGAATGCTGGACAATCTCATATCAGATTAAGAACAGAAATGTGGTTCAACGGAATGATGCTGAGAATATCATGGAATGAACATGTGATCATGACTAAATTTTAGAGAAAAAAGGAAAGAAAAAGGATACTTATTCTTAACATCAGGAAGAAGTAGTTGAAATTTCTAGGGCATATAAGGAGGAAAGAAGGCTTAAAAATTTGATACTCACAGAGAAGATTGAAGGCAAGAGGGACAGAGGAAAGCTAAGTTACTTGTAAAGCTTGAGTAAATGGCTGGTGGAACAAAGTTTAAAAGATATAACAAAGAAGCAAAATTTATAAAGCACAGGAGACTGTGGAGAGCCATGATCACCAACGTTCTGAAGGGACATGATATATAGAAGATCTGATCTTAGGTATTGAATAAATACTTGTGATCCACTACAGAAACCTTTTATTTAATACAGTAAATATTATGAAGATCACAGAGACAAAATGGGCAAAAACAAAATTATCTGCTTCATCTAATAACAAATAGCATAACCATTTTTATCAATAACTTAAAGTAAATATCTTCTCTAGTTAGAAACTAATATATTTATACTATTTTCGTTATTCAAACTGTTGTCTTCATCTTTATTGTCATATTCACGACATTTTGGCCATTGTATACTCTGGCCTTCTACAGGTTATACAAGTTAGAATTTCAAACTCGTTATTTTGTCCACAGGTATTGATTTGTTCTAGTTCCACATGTCATTCCTATTCTAGATATGTATATATTTATATATATATATATATATCAAGGCTCTAACTTTTTTGCAATACTATGTTCCTATGTTAGAAATCAATGAACTTTTGTTTAAAAGTAATGAAAAAGGTACTAATTTGTTTTAGTTCTTGAAAAAGATCACCACCAAATAAAAAAATTACCATATATGCAATGAGGGTAAAAATACAAAATATCTCAGATGCTTTATTTTCCAATTTGCTAATGATGTAATTGGATAGTACTTATGTATTTTTGAATGTGTTTGACAGTTTATAGCTATAGCATAACATACAAAGGTTCCATAAAGTTCTAGAAGGGTCCAGAGAGTCACAGTACTACTATACTCATATAAGATTTTAGAAATTTTGTGTTGTGGAGGGGGTGACATCTTTAAAAAAATAAACTGAATTAAACTCTTCTTCATTATTTTTTAACAAATTTTTATTGAATTATGATACAGGAAATCAACTATTTATAAAAAAGTCATAACCCCTATATATATTATATATATATATATATATATATATATATATATATATATATATATATATAGATTTTATTATGAACATCAATGATTTCCTGAAAAATTCGGTATTAATAACCAATATTGTTAAAATTTTTATTATATATTTATATGATAAATATATAGAAAATTCTGTCATCCATCAATTTTTATATTAAATATCCGAATGCCTGAAGCCCAAACAATAATAAAATATGAATAAAGGAAACATGGCTATGTATTTACAAATATATGTAACTGGATTGAAAAGAGTTAAAAGTTATTAAAAATAGTGTTTAGCTGAGTTAAAGTCTTCAAGAATTTGGTTCAGAGAAAAATCTGTGGTTAAGAAAAAGCCTTTTAGTAGTTGTCCCACAGTAAAAAAACTGTAGTTGAGAAAAGACTTTGATCTTCAGCAATGATTTACTGATCATCCTTGTTGTTGTTGTTTGAAATGATTTGTTTGATGGTGCTAACACAGGTTTCTTTCAGCACACACAGGTGGGAGAGGGAAAAGCTATGTAGCCATGTCATCTCTTGTGTTTGAATGACTTGGAGACAGTCACATCTATGTTCCAAGTAGTATCTTTTCTTCCTCTTTCTATGCGATCTAAATGAAATAGTCCATTATTTATGAGGTATTTACAGGGTATAATGGTCATGCAAACTAACAAATAGAGGGACACAATTATAATAAGATTTTCATCTGATTAAATATTGCCCTGTTGTACGAGTTTTAAATATATCAACTACATTCCCTGTAGGGTAAGAAGACCACACCTAAAAGGGGATTACCTTCCAGACTCAGATATAAAACCCAAACAGTATCTACATATAAGACAAGTGTAAATATTCTATGTCTACTTTCTTTTACTTTGTAGGAAATTCTGTTGTCCTGTTTTTTTTTTATATTAAAAATCTGAACATATGAATGACAATAAATAATAAATTAAAAATAAAGAAAACATGGTTACATGCCTGTTAAATAAATCTTTTGTATTTAAAAACATATCTACATGAATTCAAAAGAATTGAAAAGGCATAAAAATAGTGTTTAGTTGAGTTAAAGTCTTTGGGAATTTGGTCCAGAGAAAAATCTGTGGTTAAGAAAAAGCCTTTAAGTAGTTGGCCCACAGTAAAAATCTGTAGTTTAGAAAAGATTTTTATTATTAGCGATGATTTACTGTCTGTGTTTGTGGAGATGATTGGTTTGAAATCACTGACACATGATTGTCAGCAAACATTCACTGACCATCTCTGCTGTTATTGCTGGAGATGATTTGTTTGAAGTCACCGACACATGTTTCTTTCAGCAAAGGGAAAGAAGAAAGCTTCTCTTGTTTTTGAATAGCTTGGAAACACATTTCTGTTCAATGAAAATCAAAATCTGTGAGTTTTTATAAGAATTTTTTTTCCCAAAAAGTAGGATTGAGAAAAATATGGATTTAGTTTTCTCTGATTGATCAAATATTTCACAAGGTGTTGTCAATTTTTCATCAAGTGACACTTTGATATAAATGGTGCATGTTGTATTATGGAATCTTTCTGGTATATTTGTAAATATTGTCTGTTATTGGGTAGAAATTTTATGTTATGTATGTGGGTATGTTATTGTATTGAAAATAGGGTTTATTTACTATAAATATAATATGTGAATTACAGCTTGTAAAATTTGTTTTTATTTAAAATATTTACAATAACTTATTTAGTAATGTGAGATTTTATTATACAGTTTTAGTGTTGTTCATTATATATGTAAAATTCCTGAGAAAAAACTGCTAAGACATATCACTATATTAATTGAATTATATACTTAGTTCATGCCATGTTAACTGAAACACACTTGTAAAAAAGAATTCGTGGATTTATCATGTTACAAATTTCTTATAAAATTCTCACTTGAAATTTTGATCTTTAGCGTTGCGACTAGCATGTTCCGAGATTGTACAACAGTCAATAAATAGAACACTCTTACAAAAACATCTTTCGGTCTACAAACAATTATTTCGTCTTCAAGTTTTAACTTTAAAGGAAAAAATTACAGCCTGATGATGAAGAAATGAATCTTCGAAAGTACTTGCTTAACTTAAAAAAATATACACTAGAAACATCTGACAAAAGTTTTATAAATAAGGATCACATCATTCAATGGATTAACAGTATTTTAATGCATACATTATGTTCTACTAGCGAAGTGATTTTGCCATTAATCACATTAATATTTCTGATTGATTCTATGTATGATTATTCTTTATATATATATATATATAAAACTGTGTAGTTATTGATATTCATTTTTAATTTCAGACAGATGAAGGAGTGCCATAGGAATGATATAAATTAAAAAGAGTAATAAGATATTGTAAACTTATTGAGTGATATCAATAAAAGGTTGGAAAATAGTAAAAATATTTTGCACATTGGCAAGATAAGAACTGAAAAGATTCAAGAATATCACAAAAAGAGATGTATACAAAATTTTAAGAGTAATCAGCAATTAGGGTGAATTATCTAGCAAGAAAATATCTGGAAAATCTGGTATTTTAAATGCAAATGGAAAGAAATATGCAAAATATTAAGGCCATTGGCTAAAGACATGAAAGCAACCAAACTACCATCTTTAAGGAAAGATCACAAAGAGGAACATGTAATTTTGATGAAGAAGTACATGAAAACTGATTTCCCAGTAATAATTTTTAGTAATGATAAAGAGCTTCACTGGTCTGAACTGATGGCTTGTTTAGAAGCTGGGTCTTTCATGGAAATCATCAACTAACACATGGCTTACAATAACATCATGTTGAAACACTGGTTCCTATAAAATCACCAAAGTTAAGCAACATTGAGCCTGGTCAGTACCTAGATAGGTGACTGCTTGGGAATACCAAGTGTTGTAAGCTTGGATGTGTGGGTGATGTAATGGATAATGGCACAAAATTGTTAATCAGAGAACTGTGTTCCAATTCCCTTTGTTTTTTTTATATTCACTTATGTGCAAATACACTTGAGAAAGGTATTACTCCAACTCTTCTTGCCCAGATATGGGTTAATTAGTAAGACTTGTATTGCTAAAACTATTATTACCTAAAATAACCTGCAAAGAGTTGAAAATAAATCAGTCAATCAACTAACACAACTTAGAGTAGTAGGAATACATTTTGAGGCTAGTATTATAGGCAGTAGAATTATAAGTCCCTTCAAATTTGGTCAAGGTTTTTTAGTGTCACAATAAAAAAAAATCTAATCTAAAGAATCTATTCATATCAAATAATATTCCTTCACATTCAGCAATGTTTACTCTTGCCTACATTATCCAAAAATGTTTCAATGACTCTAAATTAATGGAATCCTTCCAACCGCTCCAGAAAATAATTCTGTAGAAAACTTGTTGCCCATTATTAAAAGAGATGTTTAATAATGAAAAGAAAAGATCTTTGGGAAGTAATAAAATCTGTTGTAAGTTAAAGTTGAAACAAGTAGAAAAGTTAATAAAATCACTGAACTGGTACAGTGATAAAAAATGTCAAAGAGTTTTTTATTTAACATGTAAAATAAAAAAAAAAAAGAACTTATTTAGGTTGCTTGGATATTGTGTTAACTTGCAAATATATGCTTACCTGGTCTATGGCTTTTGGATTTATTTCTAAGCATTTAAGCTGCACTTCATTTGCCTAATAAAAACACCAAAAGAAGTTATTATCAATAATTGTAATAAGCATAGGTATTATAAAATGAAATTCCTATATTCTAACAGACCCAGAAAACTCCACCAGTATCATATGGTTAATACCAGTTTTATTGTGAAAACATTAACTTGTATCGTAACATATGACATGATGTAGTAAATAGAGGGGGGGGGTCAATCTATTACTTAATAACAATAAAAAACTGATCCCCCAATTTATATCCAGTAGAAACTTATATTAATATATAACGTGAATATACCTGGGAAATTTTGCCTTACATTATAAAATGTGACATAATGTATTAAGTAGGCAGTAGAAGAAACTTATATTAATGTATAATGTGAATATACCCGGGAAATTTTGCCTTACATTATAAAATGTGACATAGTGTATTAACTAGGCAGTAGAAACTTATATTAATGTAATATGTGAATATATTTGGGAAATTTTGCCAATATCATTTGGTTAACCTCAATTTCATTGTGAAAAAATTGACTCACATATCATTTTATTACTAGTGTCATTTTTGTTTTCATCTTACTTAAAATTTCCTTGTGACTCACATATTTAGTCCATGGTATTCTCAGCATCTATATAATCACATTTCTGTTACCTGAAGTCTCTTCAATATCTGTGTGGAAATTGTCCAACATTCGTTGCCTGTATTTCAACAAATGTTGGAAAAATCTCCTCACAGACGATTGATATTACATAAAGATTTAGCATTCTTTTCTTGGTTGCTAACAAAATTCTCCTGATTTTTAATGCTTTGATAATTTTTTTTTGGACGGTATCTTTCACTATTCCAATGCCACGTTTGATTTCGTAATAAAATCTGACTTAATGTAATAATTTTAAGGTGAACTTTTAATACTGAACTACAATAGAAAACAGGTCCCCCACTTGATATCCAGTAGAAACTTAATTGATATTTAATGCAGATGTAGTTTGAAAAATTTCACCAGCATTATTTGATGAATAACAATTTTATTGTGAAAACATTGAATTGTTTAGCAAAATCTGACACTGCAGGTAAATATCTGTTGTATTTTTTACGATAAATAAAATATTTTGTTGATTGACTGATTTGTTTTTCATGGATTATCAACCTTTTTCAGGGTATTTAAAGCCAGAAAATATTTTTAGATTGTAAGAATTTTTCGGAGCTAATAATGATTTATTAATAGAAGTCCTTCTAATTAACTCATAAGAAGGGGTGGATTCATACCTTTTCAAAGGATATTTGACATAAGTGAATATAACAAATCTGACTGGAATTTGAATTCAGCTCTCCGATTTTCAATTCTGAGCCATTATTCATTACACCACATGCAGATCCAAGCTTACAGCACCTGGTCTTCCCAATTGGTCACCCATTTATGTACTGACCAGGCTCAATGTTGCTTAACTTCAGTGATCATACAGGAACTATTGTTTCAATGTGAGATGGCCATAAGTCTGGATGGAGATTAGAGAATGTTTAACTTTGGTGATCATACAAGACCCCGATGTTTCAACATGATATGGGCATCAGCCAGATAATTTTCATATAACCAAGAAGTTTAGAATTTTATACATGATGACCCAAAGTTTATACAAGTTCATGCTTCTAAATGTTTTCTTTTTTCACTTTTGAGTAGACATCTTTTTTCTTCTGTGACAGTAAAATGGTTGGATTTTTTTTTAATAATTACAAAGATTATTTTGCTACATGGCAATAAAACTATTGATGGACAGAAAAAAAGGATTAAAAAAGTAAAGTATCAGCCAACACAAAGAAGTATTGGTCATTTCACTCATAATTGCCTGAGAAAAAGAGAAATTCTTTTTGTTTTTTGTTGGTTTCATCATTCATTAACATCAAGAAAGGCTTCATCAAGAAGGGAACCACACAAGATTTTAAATACAGTACAAAGATAGCTTGTTAGGCAGAATGAAAATCTAAGACATTCATCATCCCAAATATATATATATATATGTATGTATATACATACAGACACACACAAACTTGTTTGCAGATCTATGTGATTATATATATATATTAAAACAAAGTGTTCCTATTGCATCACAGAAAATAAGTTAAGAAGTACATCCATATTTTCTCACACTGGCTCTCTATTACACACATATATATATATATATATATATATATATATATATATAAACAATGAGTCCCTTTCTCATCACAAAAATAAGTTAAGAGGTACATTGATATTTTCTCTCTCTGTTTCTTTCTCTGTGTGTATATATATATATATATATATATATATATATATATATATATATGATATTATCTTAGTCAAAAACACAAATGAAATACATGAACTACAAAAAACTTTAAAAATCTCCGTCCTGAATTTCAGATATGAACTGAACAATAGCAATAAAATCCCTTTTCTTGATGTATTGATGGACAATAATAATAATACATTTACTACTTCCCCATATAAAAAACAACTAGCATCATCATGTGCACTCTCAACTATAAAATTGAATGTCCTATTATAAAATAGCTGTTATACAAAATTTAATAATCCATACAAAAGCAAATTCTTCAACAAAAATGACTTTCTACACTGAATTAAGAAACATTAAACAAAAACTTATTGACAATGACTTTCCTAATTACATTGTTGATGAACAAATTATATGAGTTATTAGAAATATTAAAATAAATTAAAAAAAAATACTTCCTCAAATAACCCTAAACATATCAAACTATTATACCACAATCAAATACATTATAACTATAAACCAGATGAAACAATTCTAAAACCCTAATAAATACCAATATATCCCTCACTAATCCCCTGTAAAAAAATAAAACTAATTATATACTAAATTTAATACAGCCAACTTAATCATCCACAACAACTTATCTTTATCAACTAGCATTTTACAAAAGACTAACATTATATATCAATTTAAATGCCCTTTGGGAAATTGTATCTCTGCCACAAATGTAAATATATATGTTGGTTTTACTACTACAATTATGTCAAGGATACTTACATTTCACTTCAATGATCCTTGTTCTATCTGTCAACATTTAAATGAGCATTCCAGTTCACATTGAAGATTTGGACAGATATTAATTGACAATACAAATATACTCCACCATGAAAATAATAAACATAAACTTCAAATTCTGGAAGCCCTTTATATAAAAAAAAAATTATGGCCTTTTTCTTGATCAGTTTTGTACAGACACTAATAAATTGATTTGTGAACTTGAGAGGATTAAAATAAAAATAGACATCATATGTCGTCTAGATTATTCCACCAAACATTCTTGAATGAAGATATGCTGCATATATATATATATATATATATATATATATATATATATATATATATATATATTATATAAAGGGTGTGGTAAAAAGTAATGCCATTTCTGAGGTGTAGACGACAATGCAAAGCATTTGGGTAGCCATCACAAACACCTCTAACAACACCAGACTTTTTTCATGTGGGGTGAGGACTGAAAGATCTTGTTTATAGGATCAAATCAAAAACAATTTCTAAATTAAAACAAGCAATTTTTGATAAATTTTCTGAAACTAATGTACAATGTGTCAAATGGTGTGTTGCTGATTACATTCAGAATTGAAATGAACATAAAAGGGAGCATTTTGAACACGTTAAATAGTATGTTTATCATAACAAAACATGTTGTTTTGATGTGATAACACTCATAAATTTTCTAAAACTGTTGTAATTTATTTTTGTTCAATAAGATGTATGGATACAGGGTGCAGCAAAAATAACAGTTTTTCATTTATTAACTTTCATTGGACAAAAATTAATTACAGTAGTTTAAGATAGCTTAAGATTAATTATGGCTTATGCGTTGAGGAATGGTTAAATTCTAATTGTGAGGTGAGAGTGATAGGATGACATGGAGCAATTAAATGGCTATCACAATCTCCAGACCTAATACCACCAAACTTTTTCTTGTGGCATGTATTGAAAGATATCGTTTGCAGAAATTCCTGATTTAAAACAAGAAATTTCTGATGAATTTTCTGAAATTAAAGTAGAAATGTGTCATTTTGAAATGTTCATTTGAACATAAAGAGGTGCATTTTGAACATAATAAATAGTTTGTTAATCATAACAAATCATGTTGTTTTGATGTGACCATAATTTTCTTCAACTGCTGTAATTTGTTTTTGTTCAATAAAAGTTAATAAATAAAAAATGGGTGTTACATCTGTCACAAAAAAATCGTTGAAAATAAGTTAAGAAGTACATTCATATTTTCCATTGCTGTATTTCTCTCTCTCTCTCTCTCTCTATATATATATATATATATATATATATATATATGTGTGTGTGTGTGTGTGTGTGTGTGTGTGTGTGTATATCTTTGCACTCCTTCCATGTCTAAATACAGGAGTATAGGTTTGCTGGCATTCTTTCTTTCTTTCTCTTACCAGGGCCACAATGATTTAACTGTCTTAACTCTTTGGTGATCAAACTAACCAGTGGCTGTGACTTTCCATTATGAGGGTACCAGGTTAGCAGTTTGCTGGCTGTTGCTTCTGACTGGTCGTTAGTAGGCTGAAATTTTTGGTAGCAGAGAGAGGCTGCTCTGATCAACAGTTGCATAATATAGGGGTATCTGTAGTGCCATGTTGTGCATGGGTAGGTGTCCCAGCATGTATTTCCAGCTAGCAACCTATAGACCACATTATGCTCTGCACTCAGCCAAGCACTGGCTGGTTTGTATTGTCATTGACGACAGAGAGTGACAATTAGGGTGATCTTTTTTCTCTTTCCTCAAAATATATCTCATAGAAATGAATTTAAGCACAATACTTGACTGGTGGTGAGATCTCATCAATTTACAGTTGAGCTAGATGTATATTTGAAGGGTGCACAGTGGGGTAATGGATAATGGCTCAAATTGAGATATTAGAGAGCTGAGTTTGAATTCCATTTGAGATCATTATATTCACTTATGCAAAAATATTCTTGGGAAAGATATCATTTCACCTCTCTTCAGCTATAACCTTGCTTGGAAACCAGTCTAAGGGAAGGATAATGCTGAATTCAAAACCTGAGGAGGGTCCTTTGGAGAGATTGTGGCACACTACGTGCACCAGTTGTCCGTATTCGGTTTTTCAGAAAAGTGTGATTATTTTGCACAAACCTTCACCACTATAATCAAATCATATGTAGGATGGGGGTCATCTGGCTGTTTGGTTCAAGAACAGAATTGTTGAACCTTCTTACATCGAGAGTGATGGGAGAGCCCAGTATGTACACATATGTGTGTATGTATGTGTGTGTGTGTATACATACAGATATATATACAGATACATAAACATATAAATATATGAACATGTCTATATACATATATATATATAAAAATGAGTTCCTTTCCCATTACAGAAAATAAGTTAAGAAATACATTCATATTTTCCCTTGCTATCTCTCGCTCTCCCTTTCATATATATATATATATATATATATGAAAACATCATATTTTTAATTTTTTGACCCTCTTATATCAAAAGTGATGGGAGAGTCCAGTGTGTTCGTGTGTATATATATATATATATATATATATATATATATATATATATATATATATATATATATTTAAAACAAATAATTCCTTTTCTCTCAGAAAATAATTTAAGAAGTACATTCATATTTTCTCTTGCTATTTCTCTCTCTTTTTATATATATATATATATATATATATATATATATATATATATTATATATATATATGTGTGTATATTTGTAAAATTTCAGATAGAATATATCTGTAAAAGGACAATAAGAATAAAGACATATGTATATATATATATATATACACATGTATGCAGAGATCATATTTTTTCATTTAGTCTTTGAGAATCCAAAATTCTAGAAAGAGCGACTTCATCATAATAATGTAGATATATGGATTCCGTAGAGTTGCCAAATTGATATGGCTGGCTTCTGAAAATATAAGATAAAAAAATAAAAGTAAAATAATACATGCATGTGTGTGCAGGAATACAAACAAATAAAAAGAAAGGGCCTATATATATATATATATATATATATATATATATATATATATCCCCCAAAAAAAAGCTAAAGTTGTATGTGAAAAATTGTAAAGCCAAAATTCTCCAATGCAATCATGATTATAAATAATTGTATGTTCAGTGTTGAACAAGAATAAACAAACTTTTGGGATGATGATAGCATGGATACAAGCTTTTTTCAGCTCACATTTTTCTTTCTTTTCTTTTTTTTAAATAACTTTCCCTTTTTGCCACCGACTTTCTGTTTTTTAAATCCTTTCCTTTTATTACTTTTTTCCTTCATTTATTTTCTTCTTTTTCATAATCATTTATTCTATACTACTTTCACTTTTTCTTTTCCTTCAATTTTCTTCAATAAATGACTTTTTCTCTTCTTTTCTTCCATTTCTATCATAGTTAAAAAC